GGAGGAAAGCGATGACAAATCTAGACAGCATCTTAAAAAGCAGAGACATCTCCTTGCCGACAAAGATCTGCATCGTGAAAGCTATGGTTTCTCCAGTAGCGATGTATGGAAGTAAGAGCTGGACCATAAAGAAGGCTGACCGCCAAAGAATGGATGCTTTTGAACTGTGATGCTGAAGGAGACTCTTGAGAGTCCCCTGGACTGCAAAGAGAACAAACCTATCCATTCTGGAGGAAATCAACCCTGAGTGCTCCCTGGAAGGACAGATCCAAAAGCTGAGGCTCCAATGCTTTGGCCATTTCTCATGAGAAGAGAAGACTCCCTGGAAAAGACCCTGATGTTGGAAAAGTGTGAAGGCAAGAGGAGATGGGGATGACAGAAGATGCGAAAGTGTGAAGGCAAGAGGAGAAGGGGATGACAGAGGATGAGATGGCTGGACAGGGTCATTGAAGCAACCAACATGACTTTGACCCAACTCCGGGAGGCAGTGGAAGACAGGAGGGCCTGGCGTGCTCTGGTCCATGGGGTCACGAAGAGTTGGACATGACTTAACAACTAAACAACAACAAAAGGGTGATGTGCAGCCACAAGAGTCACTGCAAATTCTGACCCTTTTTTCTCTGGAGGGCATAGATTTGGTCCTGGGCTAGCAACTCATCCACCACTAGTGGAAGATCAGGGGTGAATGTGATGTGGTATTTTAATAACTTAGAAAGATTTCCAAAGCTAGCAGGCCCTCAGTTGGCCACAGTGACATGCATTTTATATATTTTTATTTGTGTACATATATTTTGTGTTTGCTTTACTTTTAAAAAATGGACACCTTCCTTTCTTCATTCCTCTCTCTCAGCAAGAACCTGTGGATTTAGTGGATCCTTCAAGTGTAAACGGCATGGCGGTAAATGTGTAGTGCCCAGTGACTGTACAGGCCTTATGAGGAAGACTGGGGAATGTGAAAGTAACATCATTTGCTGCAAAAGGTGAGGTGAAATCCCTGAAGTCAATTGTTGCAGATGTGACGAGCGCTTCGTTTAACGATGAATCTGCATAGCGATTGAGTTTTTGCGATTGCAAAAGCGATCGCATAATGATGTTTTAAATGGGAAAAATCGCTTTGCGATGATCGGTACGCTGTTTCGCTTACCAATTATCACATAACGATGTTTTTTAAACAGCTGATCGGTGGTTCCAAATATCTGCCGCGTAAAGAAAATGGGCACCCGCTGTGTTTTCGCGCCCTTTCCTCGCTTACCGGGCTGCAAAAATGGGGGCCGCATGGAGTATTGTCACAGAATGGTGAGTTTTTTGCCCATAGGAACGCATTAAACATGTTTTAATGCGTTCCTATGGGCTTTTTTGTTCCACATAGCGACGAATCCGTATAGCAACGATTTTTTCGGAACGGATTATCGCCGCTATGCGGAGCACCAGTGTACATTATTGTCATGACATTCATTCCAAAGAAATTTCTGTCCACATCCTGTTGGAACCTTAACATTTTTTAAAAAAACCTTTGTCTTTTCTTTAAGTGCCTAAACTTCAAAAGAACATCTAGGAAGGAGAAGTAGAAAGGCAATGTTAAAGGTGGGATTTAGCTGCATGGGGAATGGAGAAATGTGTTTTGTTTTTCCGATCTGAAATTGAACCTTTTTCTCTTTTCCTCTTACCTATTTTTTTGTTTTTTGTTTTAGTTTATTTGCCAATTGAGCTGGGAATGGAGTCTCGTCAGCAATCGCTTTTTCATATAGAAACTTATCCAACTCCACTTGCCTTCCAATGGAATCTTGCTGGCAGGGGATCCAAACTTAACATCGTCTATAACAAAGCAATTCTCCCTTTGAATAAACTGTTACTTACAGCAGGTTGTGTTGGTGTAAAGACTAGTAATTTAAGAGTGATTTATTGTTGGGATCAAAGATCCCAACCAGTGATTTTATTCTATGTCTCTGAAGGAGCCCTTGCCTTATGCTGTGGGGTGGTAGCATTGGCGCATAATATAATACAAGAATGTCATACATTTGTGTTGAGAGGAGAGATGGTCAATGGAACTATGAACCAAAAAAGCCCATTAATTGGGTTGGTTCTTGATTCGGCACATAGTTTGGTTTGGGAATCCCATTTTGCTGAAATGAAACGAAATACGAATTTCCCCCCATGTTTCATTTTCAGAAAAACAGATGCCCCACCCCTTCCCTGCTCTTACGACCGCCTAGACTGGTCGTAAGACCACATAGGTGGGATAATAAATAAATAAATAAATAAACTTCCCTGCTGACCTCATCACCTTCCCCTCTGTCATACTGCCACTGCCACCTCCATCATCGCCCCTGTAGCTCCCACTTCCCTTCTGCGTGCTGGACCTGCTCTCTCTAAAGAGGACAGCAGCAGAGGATGAAGGTGAGGAGGTGGCAACACCAGGTAGGGAGGCAATAGAGGGTGTTGGAAAAGGGGTGGGGGGCAACATCAAGGGTGTTGGCATTATGTTCTTCTACCTCCAGCACAAACCAGAAAAACAAACAAACCATAAGCTGGTCAATGTAGACACGCAGGATTTCACGGCCAGGATCTAATGGTTTTTGTGGGTTTTTTGGGCTCTGTGGCTGTGTTCTGAAGGTCCTTCCTAACACAAAAGACCAGCTAAAGACACCCATTAATCTCAGTGACAGATAATCTCTCCTCCTTATCACAACACTACACTCACAACAAAAACACACTGATCACCATAATCACCCATCTCCTGAAAAGGACAAAAGCTGATCTCACAGCCATAAATACTCAACTCCCAAACAAACTGCACCAGAGCACAGAGTGCTACTCCTGTCCTCTGAAGATGCTGGCCACAGAGACTGACGAAACCTTAGGAAGAACCTTCAGAACACGGCCAAAGAGCCCGAAAAACCCACAACAACCACAAGCTGTTCCTTTTTCTGGAGTCTGTGGATGATTCATGGTTTGTGAGTAGCCACAAACCACGAACCACCTGGTTCATCATTTTTCCAGTCCATGCCTATCTCTAGTTGAAAGTAATAGAGGAAGTTATGGGTGAGCACAGAGTGCTACTCTTGTCCTCTGAAGATGCCGGCCACAGAGACTGGCGAAACATGAGCACAGCTGTCAAATACAGAATCTTTTGAAGGCCACAAATTCATTAAGTGGACTACCAAGCGTGCTGTTAAGGATAGAGTGATGGACTAGGTCTCAAGAGGCCTTGATTCGAGTCCCGGCTGAGTCATGGAAATTCAGTGGGGGAGTGAACTGGTGAACCCACTTCTATCTCATCTCACTTACCCAGAAAGCCCCATTAGGGTTGCTATAAGTCATTTCCAACTTGACAGCACATAACTAACGAGGCTCATGAACTCACCATAGGCTTGAAGCAACTGTAGACATATGTCCTCTGAATTTTTGCCTCCATGGAATTGGGGCTTATTTAAATCAACACCAAATAAGAAATGGAGAGGTGAAACCGAGGAGATGGGGTACACCTTTGTTACTCTGTTTATATCCCTTAGCCTACAGAAGGGCATAACATGAGTCAAGGAATGGGTTGTCCATTCTAATATCCCTCTTGCCTGGATAGGGCAAGACTTCAGGGACCCGCTATGCTTAGCCAGCTTTGTCTTAGGAAACCCATCATAAAGAGGTAGGTAGGGGCTGGTTCCAACTCATGTCCATGGATTTAAGCCTGGTTGCTGCTCCCATTGGCCTTATCCCTCTTGCCTGGATAGGGCAAGACTTCAGGGACCCGCTATGCTTAGCCAGCTTTGTCTTAGGAAACCCATCATAAAGAGGTAGGTAGGGGCTGGTTCCAACTCATGTCCATGGATTTAAGCCTGGTTGCTGCTCCCATTGGCCTCAGAGGGGATACCCCAGTTGTGTTCTGGCTGACATGATTTGTGGGAGACGACTAGGGCAACCAATTGCTGAATACCACCCCTCAGGACATCAACACTGCAATTCTGTCTCCCAGTATTAACCCCCAAATTACGACCTCTATAAATTGAACCACAAGGTATGAAAGTGGTATAAGTAAAAACTTCCTGGGCCCCCTTTTGTTCAATAAGCTATTCAGGGTGCCAGGCCAAAATTTCCTCTCTGGCCCAAGGGGACCCATAGCACGTTGCAGAGTTGTGAATTTCTGCTTGAATTTCTCTAGCTGCATAACAGAAATTCAGGGATTCACACTGAAGAATAGTTTTAAAGTTCCTCAGAATAGTCCACTACTTTTTTTTTTCATTAACTGGCACTTTCAATCTCAATAACCCACACTGAGACATCAGTAGAATAAACCGTGTTCCTTTACTTACGGTTGAACAGATCTACAGCAAAACTAAGAAACATGACTGCTCTCAGGAACAGGCCTCACTCACTTCAAACAGACTGACTCACTGCTAAAAGACAAAGATGGGTTTAAAACCAGCTACAATGTTATTAATCTAGTTATGTTTCCTAGCCTAGGTAGGGGATTCCCAGTGTGGTGTCGCAGACAGAGTGATGAACTAGGATTCTGGGGGACAGGGTTCAAATCCTCACTTGACCTTGGAAACTCTCTGAGGGAACTGACCCTCTCCTTTAATATCTCACTTACCTTGAAAGCCCTATTAGAATGGCCTATAAGTTGGTCAGAAGGCTGACCCCTGAAGAATTTTGCTTTTGAACTGTGGTGCTGGAGGAGGCTCTTGAGAGTCCCCCTGTACTGCAAGGAGAACAATCCTATCCATTCTAAAGGAGATCAACCCTGAGTGCTCACTTGAAGGACAGATCCTGAAGCTGAGGCTCCAATACTTTGGCCATCTCATGAGAAGACTCCCTGGAAATGACGCTGGTGTTGGGAAATATATTTTTATTTATTATTTATTTATTTGTTACATTTATAGCCCGCCTATCTAGTCGGACCGACTACTCTGGGTGGGTAACAACAGATCAGATCTAATGGAATTTAAAATCATTACAACATTTCACTAAAAAAGAGAGGAAACCACAATAATCAGATAGGAAAAGGGAACAGAGAACAAAATCAGGCGGTGGATGGAGGAAAGGCTTGCTTATACAGCCAGGTTTTCAGTTGGCGTTTGAAGATGCCCAGGGAAGGGGCCATGCGGATCTCAGGAGGGAGGCTATTCCAAAGACGAGGAAAGTGTGAGGTCAAAAGGAGAAGAGGACGACAGAGGACAAGATGGTTGGACAGTGTCATCGAATCTACCAACATGCATTTGATCAAATTTTGGGAGGCAGTGGAAGACAGGAGGGCCTGGCGTGCTTTGGTCCATGGAGTCACGTAGAGTTGGACACAACTAAATGACAAAATAACAACAAATAAGTTGGTTCTGACTTCATAGCACAGAACACACACACACCGCATGGGAAGGGGTCTAATGGTAGTACATAATCTGGTTCAAAGAGCAGGTGATCCACCCTGGCACCCCTCTGGCCCAGACAGGGCCTGCCCTATGGCCTCGGTTTGCTAAGCTGGCTTTGTTCTGGGAAGCCCACCATGGGGAGACAGACAGGAGGGTTCCCATTCCAAACCAAGTCTCACGGCTTTGTGGCCTAACCTAGGCCTAGTTTTACCTAGCTTCCTGTTTAGAAAGGAAGCTCCTGGCTATACCCTGAGGCAACTAGGCCTAGGCGAACAGGAAGCTAGGTGGAACTAGGCCTAGGCAAGGCTGGGAAGCTTTCCAACTGACCCTTTCTTTGTCTCAGTTGAACTACGGTTAACCTCTGTTGGAGTCTGTCTGCGGGAAGGAACTCCCAGAACAAAGAATTATGGGATTTATAATCAACAATATACAAATAGCACTTCCCTCATCATCAGTTCTTGACTGGAGGGCCATCTTGTGATCAGTCTCGGAGAACACGCTCTTCTGAGTTGGCCCTGCCAAAAATCTATCTCTCTCTTCATCTGCTTGCCATTAGTCATTAGCCAAAGAACACTGAGCAGCACTCAAGTGTGACGTCCACACAACCTTTTCTTCTTGTTTGTTGAGCGGCATCTTGCCTCTGTACACAGTGTCTCCAATTAGCTGGCCCAATAGCCAACTCTTGGAACGACCTCCTACGAAACCACAAAGAGATGTAATCACATTGCGTACGCCTCAGACGCTCAACAGTTAGCTTCTAGAGTGGTACATGAGATTCAGGGTCATCATCCCAACTCATCTTTCAGGGAGTAAAGGATTCCCAGACAGAGATTTGCTGCCAGTTTTCCATCGCTATGAAGACCCTTTTCCTTCTCTTGATTGTGGTCTTCCTGGTGTTTTTTCCTGATGGAGGTAAGGCTTTCTTTTCTTTACCTGTATTTAACCAGGGGTGACCGAGACCCCTTTTAAGCACACACACACACAAACACACCCATATTGAGAGGTTTAGGGAGTATTTTCTGAACCCGAGGGCTTCCCAAAAAGGTTAGCAATACATCTTCTGTTACAGTATGGTTTAGGTTTACGAATAGCAGAAGTCCGACGGTACCGAAACAGTTCATAGAGAAGATACGGGAAACAGCGGAAATGGACATTTTATCAGAAGTGATGAAGGACTGTCCTTTACAAAAGGCAACTGAAAGATGGGATTTATTCTATAAATGGATTGAGTCAATAGACATCGTATGAAGAGCATACAGTGAAATGAGAACTTAAATCTGGAAGGCAGAAAATAGTAAAAAAAAAAAGCAATTTGGAATTTTTATATGGCAATATGTAGAGAATGGATGTAAGTACGTTGATATGGCAATATGTATAGAATGGATGTAAGTATGTTATTGTTTCTCTTTTTTCCCCTTAACCTTAATTCCCTTTTTCCTTTCTGTCACCCCTTGTTAAAAATATTTTTTAAAAAAAGGAATAGCAGAAAGATTTAAGCTAGACTTTTCATATTTCCTCCAGTGACCGAGAATCCCAGACTCCTATCTCATGGGGCCGAGCTACTGAGAACTAGAGAATGACACTTTTTGCCATCATGGTTTGATGAAGAACAGAACGGGAAACGCTTTTGCCCTAGGGACGTAGACTGGAGTGCACCAAAATGTACCCCTATGGCAAATTGTCATCAACTTGTTAGAAACAGATGAAAATGTTGGACGCCTCTTCAGTTCGCAATGCCACAGAATTCTTAAACTGTTGGTCTAGTTCCATGCGGCTTCTCCAACACCAGACTAAAATATCCACCCAGATCCATAAGATATCAAAGCTGGAATTCTATTGTAGGCCACTGCTAACTTGTCGATGCGTGTGATCTACTATCCTAGGCACATCTCTCAGATGGCAGAGTTCAACATCAATCGCTCAGGGGTGGCATCCTTCTTGATGTAGTGTTCAGAACTGAACACAGTACTCAAGATCAGGCCTAACCAGTGCCAAATAGAGAGGAACTAGCACCTCGCGGGAATTCGGAGACTACACTTCTGTTAAGGCAGCCTAAAATAGTATTAGCCTTCTTTGTAGCCACATCACACTCCTGGCTCATATTCAACTTGTGGTTTACAACAACACCGGGCTCATATTCAACTTGTGATTTACAACAACACCAAGATCTTTCTTGCTCATAGCATTGCTGAGCCAGGTATTCCCCACCGTCCACTACTTCTCTACCTATTCCGTGAGATAGCATTGCTGAGCCAGGTATTCCCCACCATCCACTAATTCTCTACTTATTCTGTGCTGCATTTCCCACACCACCTGCTCTTTGTCCCTCAGGTTGAGCAATATTTTCCTTTTTGGAAAAAAATTGAGGCAAAAAGGCGTTGAGTAGTTATGCCTTTTCCCTGCCCCCTGTTAGTAATTAACCATCATCTCCACACAGAGATCCTATTGTCTCCTTTTTCCTTTTACTGCTGACAGAACTAAAATATCCCTTTGTATTACATTTAATCTCTCTAGCAAGCCTAAGTTCGTGCTGTGCTTTAGCTTCTCTTACCATCCCCCTACATATACTGGCTATTTGCTTATATTCCTCTTTCATGCTTTCCCCATTTTTCCATTTCTTGTACATGTTTTTTAACACTTAGCTGAGTTGAAAGTTCTTTAGTCAACCATTCTGGTTTCTTTAGACATCTCCCATCTGGACCTGGATATCTGAACTCATTCAAGGTAATAAGATATTCCTTGACTGTTTCTTGATCAATACTCATTTGCAGTCCTGTCCCCTCCACCTGCACTTCACATTTGTCTGGAGGGTCATTGTCTGCCCTCTGGGAAAAGACTGAGCTAAAATAGGAATTGAGCACTTCTGCCTTTTCTTTGTTATCATTTTTCCATCTCCATTGAGTAGCTGAGCCACTGTTTCTTTTCTTTGTCTTTTGCTACGGACATGCCTGAAGAATGCTTTTTTGTTGCTTTTAGTCTCTCGAGCTAACCTCAGCTCACTCTCAGCTTTTGCCCTCCTAATGTCGTCCCTGCAATTCTTTCTACTTCCTATATGTGTCCTTTTATGTTGTGTTTTATATCCATCTTCCATTTCTCTGTCTCCCGATGATCTACTGTAAATATCTTTTTAATTCCATTGCAATCTAACATAAATCAGATTATTTATTTATTCATATATTGTTTACTTTATTTCTATCCCGTCTTTCTTCCTGGTGAAGTGAATTGCACTGGTTAGGGCTCATCTTGAGTCCTGTGTCCAGTTTTGGACACCACGCTTTAAAAAGGATGCTAACAAATTGAAGCAAGTTCAGAAGAGGGCAACAAGGATGATCAGGGGACTGGAAACCAAGCCCCATGAGGAAAGGCTGAAAGAACTGGGCATGTAGAGCCTTGAGAAAAAAAGACTGAGGGAAGATAGGAGAGCACAGGAGATGTAAGCTACAGGACACAGCAGTTCAAGCTACAGGAAGCCGGGTTTAGGCTGAATATTGGGGGGGGGGAACCCATCTTAACTTTAGAACAGTATGACAGTGGAATCAATGACTTCAAGAGGTGGTGAGTGCCCCAGTGCTGGAGGTATTAAAGAGAAAATTGGGCCACCAACTGGCATATCTGCTTTGATCTGGATTCCTGCCTTGAGCAAGGGGTTGGACTGGATGGCCTTAGACCTCCTTCCAACTCCATTATTCTATGAATCTATGAACTGAGGCAGTGAACAACAGCAAAAACATTACAACTGCATTTTAGAATAATCTCTTTCTTCTCTTTCTCTCATTCATTCAATCACTAAATTTGTTTTTAAAATTGCTAATTCATCTATTTGTATTCATACAAATCAATGCCCCCAATGAATACATATCAAGGCATTTTTAATGATTTTTAATGTATCAATTCATTGGGCTATAAAATGTGTGCTCCCACTCACCTAGAGACACTAAATTTACCGAGGATGCTGTAAATGACTCTTCTCTACAACCGCTCCAAGATTGTTGAAGATTGGGTTTTGGTTGTCCAGGTTATACACCCACATAGAGCCCCCCTCCCCAGAAAGTCTCCCCCAGGCACCTAGAGACACCAAAATCAGCTTCCTCTGACTCTCCTCTACAATCGGCGAGTCCTCCTCTACAATCAGAGAGTTGGGAAAATTGGATTAGCCAGCTGCTAAAGGGCACTTTCCTGGGGGAACCCACTTTGTGGGTGTATAACTTGGATATCCGATATTTAGATGCCATCAAATGTATAGGGCTTGTATAGGAGCATTAGAAGAAGCCTCTCTGTGATTTTGGTATCTCTAGGTGCTGGGGTGTGTGTGGTGATTTTATAGTGTTTTAAAGGCAAAAATGACTCAATGAATGATGTGATTTTGGTATCTCTAGGTGCTTGGGGGTCATTTTATAGTGTTTTAAAGGCAAAAAAATGACTCAATGAATGAGTCATCAGAAATAAATTCATAAATTTGTAATTCATGATTCGTCAACTTGCTGAATTAACACAAATTGCCATTTTTCTGATTTGTGCCCATCTCTAGTCATAAGACTTCACTTTATTTATTTATTTTTTTCAGTTCCTGGTTTCTATTGGATCTTCATGATCCTTTTGTACAGGGCTTGGTTTTCTATATTTGGCAAACTTTGATCTGGATTGTGTGGGTTGATCTTGGATAGGAGAGGGTGCTCTAAACATGCTGTCCTCGCTGGGAACAGATTGAATTTTACATGATGGCTTGGGCTTTCCACCTATCTCTATAAATCTACGATGCTGAGATAATTTGCTTTTAAAATTGGGAGTTTATTTGGACAAAACCTTCCAAAGCAATGTATCATAAAACCAATAAGATTCACAATTAACCACTTCCAAAATTATCTAACTTCTTTATCAATTCTATGAAAGAACTGGAGTTTTACTTTTGTAAAAAATACAAGTGTAAGAATGCAAAACAGACTGTTTAGCCCAGTCATGGACTTGCTGTTATTTAGTCGTTAAGTCCTGTCCGACTCTTCGTGACCCCATGGACCAGAGCACGCCAGGCTCTCCTATCTTCCACTGCCTCCCGGAGTTGTGTCAAATTCATGTTGGTCGCTTCAATAACACTGTCCAGCCATCTCGACCTCTGTCGTCCCCTTCTCCTCTTGCCCTCACACTTTCCTAACATCAGGGTCTTCTCCAGGGAGTCTTCTCATGAGATGGCCAAAGTATTGGAGCCTCAGCTTCAGGATCTGTCCTTCCAGTGAGCACTCAGGGTTGACTTCCTTCAGAATGGATAGGTTTGTTCTTACAGTCCAGGGGACTCTCAAGAATCTCCTCCAGCGCCGGAATTCAAAAGTCATGGGCTATTCAGAGTTAAATTATGATTGCTCTCTCAGCTAAGTGGCAGACGGGGATAACATGGACCTTTTCATCCTAGAAGCAGCCATACTATCCAAATTTCCCAGTACGGAGGATTGATAATTTCTTCCATTTTGAGAAGAACGTTCCATGATTTGCACATTTCTTCATAAATTCATCCTAAGATATATATTTTAAAATCATTTATGGAAGAAACCCAAACTACTGAATTAATGTACCTCTATAAAGTTAAGTAGGACCCCTGTATCCATGAGATCAATGTCCATGGTTTGACTTATCAACAGTCTGAATTTATTAAGAATATTAAATAAAACCCCCCATAAATACATATAAAAGTATATTTCCACAATGTAATTCCCACTAAAGGGAACCAGCAACAATGTTATATTAAGGGCTCACTATGTATAGTTTTTGGCATCCATAGGAGGGATTGGAACCACCACCACCCCCAGATATTACTGTCTTACTCTACTATAATTTGCAGAGTGGAAGTACCATAGCAGTAGTTTGGGCATAATCACACAACCATGTAACTCACATTTTGGAACACTTGTTGTGCGCTTCTGAGTGAACTATTTCCTGGTGACATAAAGGCAATACTTCTCCAGCCTGGTCCCAATCCATGCCCATGCTGGAACTTTTCAATCCAGAAGTAAGGCTACTGCTTTTCAGGGGGGCAGTCTGGAGCTACTCCCTGCCAACAGAAGGGTCACTTTGAGGGAGTTTGCTTTTTGACTCTATCTGGTAAAAGCAGAGTCCCACCTTTCTCATTGTCCAATCACACCTTTTAATCTTGTCTGAACTTTGGACCCTTCTTACGTTTTTGCAGTCATTGATATTGTGGATTTCTTTTTCTGTTCATTTCTGCTGTTTTACTTTTTAATTTTTCCCCCCAGGATCCAGCATGGCAAACAATAGGAAAAAATGTAAACGTGAAGGAGGCTTCTGCATTCAGCCAAAGGGGAATGTGTGTCTCTACCCTTCAAGGTTTATCGGAAGCTGCAATCATGAACAACTCTGCTGTAAAAAAGTGAGATTCAGATAGCTGAGAGTAGAATTATAAGTAAAGGCTTCTAGCTTCCCCAGTTCCATATTGTTTATTAGAGATGGGCATGAATCACCAGCTCTGAAGTGCGTTCTGGGTCATTTTTCAGCCAAACAGGAGTTCAGTACAGTGGTGCCTTGCTTAACGAGTGCTTCGTTTAACAACGAATCCGCATAGCGATGATTTTTTGTGATCGCAAAAGCGATCGCATTACGATGTTTTGAATGGTAAAACATTGCTTTGCGATGATCGGTAAGCTGTTTCGCTTACCGATATTCGCATAGCAATGTTTTTAGAACAGCTGATCAGTGGTTCCAAAATGGCTGCCGGGTTAAAAAAATAGCCGCCCGCTGTGTTTTTGCACCAATTCCTCACTTACCGGGCAGCAAAAATGGTGGCCATATGGAGGATTTTCGCTTTAAGGTGAGTTGTTTGCCCATAGGAACGCATTAAACGGGGCTGAGAAATGCCAAACATCTGTTCAGCTGAAAAACAAACCAGCATGAACCGAAGAACCGGCAGTTCATGCCCATCTCGTTTGCTTCTTTTGCACTTTCTTGGAACAATCCGTACTCTGAGAAGACGGAGTGATTGAGAGGTCCATTCTAAGCCCATGTGTTTATTGTTGTTTAATTGTTATATCTGATAAGCTGGAGGAAGGTCACATGGCTGGCCTTCATCTCACTTTGTCGCAACAGCTCTGCGAGGTATAGTAACCTGAATGACTGGAGGGAGAGCACATGGAGTAAGTTTCACAGCGCTGCAAGCGCTTGAATTCAGATGTCCCCAGTCTCCGTTCAATATTCTAATCTCTAGGCCAGACTGCTCCCCTTATCCCTGCTCTCTTTTGATGGTACAGGCCCTGGGAGACTGGCATATTGACACACCATACCAGAGAAACAAGTGCAGGGGTATGGGAAAGAAGAAAAGAAGAAACCAGAAAGACAAACCTTTGAAACATCATTTGGCATTCAGAAATAATTAGGAAATGATCCATTTCCAGGCACAGTTTGAAGTCCTGGTTTTAACCTATAAACAAACGGCTTGGGTTAAAGTTATCTTACTTTATGTCCCCATATTGACACACCATACCAGAGAAACAAGTGCAGGGGTATGGGAAAGAAGAAAAGAAGAAACCAGAAAGACAAACCTTTGAAACATCATTTGGCATTCAGAAATAATTAGGAAATGATCCATTTCCAGGCACAGTTTGAAGTCCTGGTTTTAACCTATAAACAAACGGCTTGGGTTAAAGTTATCTTACTTTATGTCCCTGCTCAAGTTAATTAGGAAATGATCCATTTCCAGGCACAATTTGAAGTCCTGGTTTTAACCCGGCTTGGGTTCAAGTTATCTTCCTTTAAGTCCCTGCTCAAGTGTTAAGATCATCAGGAGAGGCCTTCTTTTTGGTCCCGCCACCTTCACAGGGGTGATTGGTGGGGACATAGGAGAGGGACTTTGGAACTCCCTCCCACTGGAAGCCAGGCTGGCCCTTTCTTGGCTGTCCTTCCACAAGCAGGCAAAGACCTTTCTCTCTGGGCAAGCTTTCCCTCAAGTGACTGGCTGCCTGAGAAGGTTGTTTTTGTTTTGTTTTGTTTTTTAAATGGAGTGTTGTACCTTGCTGCTTTGAATATGGATTTTTCCCCCAGTGTGGTATGCATTTGATTCTTTTAAAATATTTCTATACTTATGGGTTTTTATTTTTTTAGCTTCCAATATTGTCTTTTAATAATGTAAGCCTTTTTAAGGAGAAAGGCAGAGTAAAAATATTTTGAATGAATGAATGAATGAATGAATGAATGAATGAATGAATGAATGAATGAATGAATGAATGAATGATAGCTGCAAGAAACATGGGTCAGAGAATCCAAGAGTTCTTTAATGGCACAGTGATGCAACAGAATCAATCACAGCAACAAATGTCTGCTAGTAAAGAAGCCACTGAAATCCAGTTCTAAGTCATAGCTTGGGTAGGGCCATTGAATCAGTGGAACCTATGGAGGAACATACTGATCAAACCCCCATTGACTTGGTGGGCCTACTCTGACTTGCTACTGGATTCCAGCCTCTGTTTTAGTTGTTCTACTCCAACCAGGGACGTGGTGGCGCTGCAGGCTAAACTGCAGAAGCCTGTGCTGCAGGGTCAGAAGACCAGCAGTCGTAAGATCGAATCCACGTGACGGAGTGAGTGCCCATCGTTTGTCCCAGCTCCCGCCAACCTAGCGGTTTGAAAGCATGTAAATGCGAGTAGATTAATAGGGACCACCTCAGTGGGAAGGTAACAGCGTTCCATGTCTAAGTCGCACTGGCCATGTGACCACGGAAGATTGTCTTTGGACAAAACGCTGGCTCTATGGCTTGGAAATGGGGATAAGCACCGCCCCCTAGAGTCGAACATAACTGGACAAAAAATGTCAAGGGGAACCTTTACCTTTACCTTACTCCAACTACATGATTTGACACAGGAAACAGAATACAAGCAGTGATCCTTAACTAGCAGTAATAGGGTGTTTTGACCTACACCATTCCACTTACGCTGGTACATGTCAGCAATAAAATTCTGACCATAGTTGTAGCTAATTACTTTTGGGCTGATGAATAATATAACTATCAATTACAAAGTTAGTTTTTGGGTGTAATGATGAACACCTAGTTTACTTGATTGACAAACGTGACTTTTTAAGACTGTCCTAAAGCTTTTAAGGGGCATTTCAGCTGCTTTTGCTTTTCGGCTCCTGTGCCATTTTTAATCAAAAGGCAAGGAAAATATTTTTGGATTGTGTATTTTTACTTTTGATACATTTCCAAGCTTCCATCTTAGAGCTGGCCACTAGGGGGAACTGTAGAGCATTTCCCAATGTTTCTTTCTGGCCTGCTGAACCTAGCATGCAGATCTTTGTCATTTTAATTTGGTCTAAATACTGTATCTCAGAGTTAAACTGCAAAATGAAGACAGCTGAAAGCATGCTGGCACGTCAGCAATGTGCCACCCTCCAGCTTTGCAACTCAGCTGTTAGATTTACAGACAAAACCAATGTTTACCTCCTGATAAATATCCTGTTCTACTTGAATACTAATTTGCAAATAACAGGAGGTGAGGAAATCTTCTGATAATCAGATAATTCAGCATTTAAGGAATTCCCATTTGATCCTATAAAATGTGACTTACACTAGATCTTGTGCAAAGATAAAGAACTCAGTGTTTTTCAATACAGGGCATCCAGCTTGCAAAGAAACAAGGCTAATGACTCAACCATGAAAAAGAAGACTTTCAGCAGCCACCTTCATTCCAGTTTTCACTGCAATTGCGATCTTCTCTTCATGCTCTTAATGATACTTCGAAGCAAAAATGGATCACAGAAAACATTCTTATGAGAAATTCTGCATTTAATAAAAGCGAATCGTACCAAATTGTTCCACTGTCTTAGGCTGAGTATGTTCATTTTCTTATTGGTGGTGCTTGTTAAGAGACTTGTGGAGTACTGATTAAACTGCAGTATTGCAGTCAAAACTCTGCTCACTCATTGCATTTGATTCTGGCAGATTCAGGTAGTTGCCAGCGCAAGGTTGACTCAGCCTTCCATTCTCCTGGGGTAAGTTGAGTGTGTGTGTGTGTTTAGTCGTTTAGTCGTGTCCGACTCTTCGTGACCCCATGGATCAGAGCACGCCAGGCCCTCCTGTCTTCTACTGCCTCCCGGAGTTGTGTCAGGCTTTTAACCCTGTACCCTGAAAAGAAACTCAACACTGGAAGAAACCAAGGGAACAGGAAACTGCTTGAGAGTTTAAGCTTTTACACTCATCAGATAGGACTTAGTGAATTGCTGCCATTTGTTTGGCCTTTAAACCAATGGCAGCAATTCACTAAGTCTTATCTGATGAGTTTATTTGCTGGTGATTGTGTTGGCGATTGTGACTAAACATGCAGAAAAAATTACACTCATTAGATAGGACTTGGTGAATTGCTGCCATTTGTTTAAAGGCCAAACAAATGGCAGCAATTCACTAAGTCCTATCTGATGAGTGTATTTGCTGGTGATTGTGTTGGTGATTGTGATTAAACATGCAAAAAATACACTAATCAGATAGGACTTGGTGAATTGCTGCCATTTGTTTAAAGGCCAAACAAATGGCAGCAATTCACTAAGTCCTATCTGATGAGTGTATTGTTGCATGTTTAGTCACAATCACCAACATCTTGATTTTAATTCTAGTCTAGCGATTGGCTTGAACTGCCATTTGAGCAGTTCATGCAGGGTTTTTTTTGACCACTGGGAAGTTTTGGCACTTCCCAGCCCCACCTCCTCCAGCAGGCATTTACTCAGAGGTAGCGTCCCAACTTCCCTGTCCTGCCTCCCCCAGGTTTTGCCGCTGTTTGGGTGCCCACCGGAGGAGGCGGGGCTGAGAAATGCACCAGTTTGATTGCAAAACAAACCAGCACAAATGGCCAAACCAGCAGGTTGTGCCCATCTCTATTCAGGACCAAATGCTTGGAGTTCTACTTTTATGGCCTTTTGTGGATGGGATTAATCTTAAATCTTTCTGAGCACGGTGGGTAAATTTGAAAGACTTTAAGGTCCGTGGTTTGTTTACAAATCAACAGGAATTCGCTGTCCCTCACCGATGAAAAGGGCAAATGGAGGGGTGTACAGAGTCAGATCAAATGGGCATTCTACCCTTAAAAACACATTAAAAATATTTCTGAACACTTTTAGAAATAGGTGAGGATGCTAAGCAGTTACTTGGTGTAGATTCATACAAAGACAGTGGAGATACACTTTCCACATAGCATTGGGTAAAGGTCTGAAACATTAAAGATACACAGTGAAATGGTGAGGGGCCCTGAACTGAAAGCTTTAACTGGAATTGTTGGGGATGAACTTTTGTCTTTTGACACCCTAGGCGTGTGTTTTGGTTTCCAAAGACAGACTTGGACTTCCTTTGCTTCCAGTGTTGACTGTAGAGGGCTTATGGTGCTCAGAAACAGTACACCCCTTTGCTATGATTCTGCATATCATTCCATCTGCCCCTCCTGTGGTTTCATAGGTGAAAGAACATTCGTATTAGAAATAGATTTCTTAGACTACAAATCCCATAATTCCTAATTGTGGGAGTTGTACCTGACCCTCAAGCATCTTGTGAATACCTAAATGTAGACCACTGGAAGAAAAAGCATAACCTAAAAGCTTTTGACCGAACTCCGGGAGGCAGTGGAAGACAGGAGGGCCTGGTGTGCTCTGGTCCATGGGGTCACGTAGAGTTGGACACAACTTAATGACTAAACAACAACAACAAAACGCTTTGAGGCTGATTTAGGTCTAGCTCTGCCTAACCTCCTTTTCAGAAGGAAAGCTCTCAGCTAGCACTGGGACAGGAACAGAAAGTTGAGATGGGTCTAAGCCTTATAGCAATCCAACCTAGGCCTTTTCTCCCAGGTGAGCCAGATTTAGGTTCTGTAGGGTATATATAAGTCAGGCAGAATTCCCAAAATAGGATACTATGGAATGTATAGACCAAGGAATAAAAAATCCCATCCCTAATTGATGTTCTCCAAAGGATCTATGAACTCTACCCAGCCACAAGGACTGGTGATCACTACACACAAGATCAGCTAACAACACCCATCAATCACAGTGACAGAAAATCTCCCCCCCTTAATCACAACAATATACCCACAACAAAAAAAAACACTGATCACCATTATCACCCAATCTGCTCAGGACAAAAGCTGATCCCATAGCTATAAATACTCAACTATCCAAGCAAACTGCACCAGAATACAGACAGAGTTCTGACTCCTGTCCTCTGAAGATGCCGGCCACAAAGACTGGTGAAACATTAGGAAGAACAACTTTCAAAACATGGCCAAAGAGCCTGAAAAACCCACAACAACGATCTATGAACCACTTGAACATTTTTTTTAAACATGGACCATGAACCATTTTTTTTTGAAGTTTGTGCCTAGGGGAGGGGAAACTAAATCCTCACCAACACAACCAGATTCCCACCTCCTTCCCACTGCCCTACCTTATCCTGTTGTGTCCTCTTCGTTCTCTGCCACCAGCTTGAGAGACAGAACATCAGCTTCCATTCCAGGAGCCAGGCTGGCTGTCTCTGTGCATGTGCCCACCTATCAGCCACAGGAGTATAGGGTTAAAAAAAATATCCCAGACGAACTGACAAACCAATTTGTGGTTCATTTGGGAAAAGTTCAGAAGTCCGTGGTTTGTGAACCACGAACCAAGACGAACTGCCATTTGGCTGATTTGTGCCCATCTCTATTGTTACATTGAAAGAGAAGTGAATTATAGCCTTGGTAACCTGCTATTCCTGAGCGCTGAGTCTGCAGAACCCCTTGGGACATCAGGTTTCACCAAGGGTGTAAAATAACTTCTTTCGCTAATGCTCTGAAAAGCTGGTGGTTCAGCAGGAGACCACGAGGTGGCAGTGAGGGAACAGATAGTGATAAATAAATTACACAGCCAAGACTCTAAGGAGCTCAAAGGACAATCCCGTAGAGGAGAAAGTCTACCAATTTCTAAATAAGTTACAATTTTTGGTCTTTTTCTCATTGAAGGCGATTAAACCTGGAATATTTCAGTCAATGGTTTCATTTAATAACTTTTCAATGCAGAGATGAAATAGAATTGCTTGATTTCACCCAGAACTGTATTTATTTATTTTTCTTTATTTTAAAAAAAATTCTATTGTTGTTGCGTGCTGTCAAGTCACCTCCGACCTATGGGGACCCTAGGAATGGGTGATTTCCAAAATGTCCTGCTTTCAACAGACCTGTTCAGGTCCTACAAATACAAGCTTGTGGTTTCCTTTTGGGAGCTAATCCATCTCCTATGTGGCCTTCCTCTTTTCCTCCTACCTTCAACTTTTCCCAGTGTTATTGTCTCCTCTAGTCTTTTCCTCCTGCCTTCAACCTTTCCCATTGTTATTGTCTCCTCCAATGAATCTTACCTTGATGTGCCCAAAGTATGACAGCCTTCATTTCATCATTTTCACCTCCAGACAAAGTTCAGGCCCGATTTTTTATCTAGGACCCACTTATACCTCTTTGTGCTTGTCCAGCTTGTTTGCAAAGTTCTCCTCCAGCACCCTATTTGAAACAAATAATTTTTCCCTGTCAGCTTTCTTCACTAGCATGTCCTAGACCACAGGATCTCAGGGGAGAGTTACAAAGCTGCAAAAAACAATTTAACACTTAAGATTTTTAAAACAATTTAAAACTAAAGAGTTTAAAACACAAATGTAAACAAGTGCAGCAAAACAGGGGTGGTGGGTCCTTTTGGATTCATCTGGAAAGGGTGAATACTTCTTGTTACACCCCTTTCTCTCTCTCTCTCTCTCTCACACACACACACACACACACGCACGCACGCACGCACGCACGCACGCACGCACGCACGCACGCACGCACGCACGCACGCACGCACGCACGCACGCACGCACGCACGCACGCACGCACGCACGCACGCACGCACGCACACACACACAATCCTAGAGGTAAACTGTTCAGTAAACTAAATAAGGTGGATGAGAAAGAAGAAAAGAACATTCTAGAACACAAATGCTAGCTAGCAACACTGAGGCAAGTCTATCTTTTCACCCTACATCTATGGGTACAGATGGACAACAAGGATACAGAAAGATATAACGGGTGTAATGACCTCACTTCCAGCCCTCCTTAGCACTTCAATGGTTGATCTCACCTTGGGCTTCATTGAGAAATTCATCTGTCACTTACTTTCTCATTTGACGCCAGCTGCTCCCTCTAACCTGCACTGGCTCCCAACATTGGCTCTCCAGATGTTCTTGGACTCCAACTCCCAGAAGCCTTCACCACTAGCTGTGCTGGACAGGATTTCCGAGAATTACAGTCCAATAACATCTGGGGACATAAGGTTGGGAAGCATCGCTCTAATGTTACTGTGTGTTACTCTCAGTTTCTACTTTCTGGAGGCATTCAAGAGAAAATTAAACAACCATCTGTCAGCTGTACAGCGGTACCTCGCAAGACGAATTTAATTCGTTCTGCGGTTAATGTTTGTCTTGCGAAAAATTCATCTTGCGAAACACATTTTCCCATAGGAATGCATTGAAATCTAATTAATGCGTTCCTATCGGCAAAAAAAGTCAGAAAAAAGTCAAATTTGATTTACAAAGGGTTTATTAAGTGCTCTTTAAAGACATACATATTGTGCAGATGATTTAAAAAATTGCAATAAAAAAACTTTAAATTTTTAAACATCATAGAAAAGCATTTTAAAATCAGCAAACATGAGGCAGAAACAAAAAACAGAAAACACTTGTCGTGCAAAGCACGGCCATAGGAACATTGGTCTTGCGAGTCATCAACCCCCATTGCCAAAACCATTTGTCTTGCGAGTTTTTGTC